CTACGGTGTTGGCTACATGTCCCGAGCTATTGGTGACATTGTCACAAGAGCCTTGGGGGGAGCAGGCACAGAAGAGCGGGGATGAAATGGAGGGTCTGGCGATTCTGTCACCAGCGCTCCGAGGAACAGCGAAGCAGGTGTGGGATTACCGAAGTTCAAGGCAGTCAGCACCACACCCCAGACCGTTTTCGATCTCTTGGTATGTGACCTGTCACCCCGCCCACATATTCCCATCAGCCTGTCAGGACTGGGTCCCGATGCGCACTCTTCGGAAGCATGCGCCCAATGTGCAGACGAGGAGGGGCACATCCAGGGCAAGTGCGCGGCGGCTCGGAGGCGCACTTTCCGAGCAGCGCCGCTGGTGGACCACCCCGCGCCCAGCGCGTCCACGACGCGCGGGCGGACTTACATTCTGGATGGAAGGCCATCGGGGTAAGCACGGTTGGCCTGCGCGGGCGCAGGCGGTGGCAGCGTCAACGCGCAGCGCCTCCGAATTCTGGGGCCCGCGCAGCAGACTCGCGCAGCTTTCTAGAGGTTGGCGCGCGTGGCGATGATCTGGTCAGTGGCGAAGTCAGACTTCAACAAGTTTCGCCAGGCGGCCTGCGTCTCGTCGCGCCTCGGCGGCATGGCGCGCGAGCGCGCGGACGAATGGCCGCCCGTTGTCCCGACCCATGGAGGACTCATCAACGGCGACCCAGCGAGCGGCGTTGCGCCATGCAGCGTCGTCTTCGGACGGCAGCCACCTACTTATGCTGCCACCGCTTGAAACTGAGGTATCCAGTGCCTGTGGCACCGGTGATGGACCTCTTGCTGGTGGAGAAGCGCAGCCCAGCCGAGTGCAGCGGCGCATCCGAGAGACCGCCTTGCAAGCGCGTGATCGAGGCCACGTCGATCTCGCGCGTCAGCCGCGTACTTCGGCCCCGCGCCGCCGAGTCTGGAAAGGGCCGCTTCATTTTCGACGACGCAGTGGGGGCCCACGGGCCCCCGAGCGCGATGACGCGCCGGGCTGGGCCAGCCCCGGGGCGGTCGCTTCTGCAGACCTGGCTCGGGGCAAGGTGGTGGCCAAGCACCGCCGCGCCAAGAAGGTGCGCAGACTGCAAGACGCCCGGGCGTTCATCGGTGCCATCTTGGGCGACGTGGGCGCCAGCGTGGCGCGAGCAGGCTTGGCCTGGGCCACCTGGAGCACGTGCGCGCGCATCGCCGAGCAGACCCCCAGGCGCCCAGACATCCTCGAAGCCCGGCGCCATCTGCCCCGCCGATGCGTTCAGCTGCCAGACGCTCGTGCCATATCTCTGATCGGCGGCTGGAAACCCGCGGGCATTGCAAGGAAGCCTGCGTCATTCGGTTGGTCTTGGGTGACGAGCCACTTCTGGTAGCGGACGCCAGACAGGGCCCTAGCGGACCGTTCGACGACCGCGTCGCCAGCGCCCCTGAGGACTCCGCCAGCACCGCCGAATGCGGTTCGCGAGCGGCCCTGCCCGAGGAGACCGACAGCGACTTCCCTGGCCGCGTTCGACAGGCGACGTTGGCAGTTTGGTGCGAAGTCCAAGGAGCAGAGGACTTGGTCCGAGAGCTCGAGGAGCTGGGAAGCGCCGACAGTCAGCAAAATATCTTCGCTGCCGTCGCGCACGCCGCGCCCGGCCTCGGCCGCCCGCCCCGCGCGTGCCCCCGGCGCCGCGAGACGCAGCGCCAGCGCCAGAGCATCCACGCGCAGCACAACTACCTGCGCGGGGCCCCCTTGGCCTGGTGCAACATGCTAGAGGGGGAGGACAGAGGGGGGAGACGCGTGGAATTGTACCTGGATCCAGGGGTGCGCGAAGCAAATTTACGGTTCAACAAGGCAGCGTTTAGCGACTGTGTCGCTGGCGCTCCCTGGGCAGCCACGCTCAACGTTCGCGGCGCCGTTGAGACCGCGCGACGCTGGCCGTCCGTCCAACGAAGGCGCGTCGAGGCTGTCAAAGGAGGTCGCAGCGGCGATCCTCGAAGAGCTCACCGCCTGGGTCAACAATTGAAAATGTTTCGAGAGGCGACCGACCGAGGGCGCGCGAAACGCGATGGGCCCCAGACGCGTCTTCAAGTGGAAGAACTAGACAGGGTCGTGCGACAAGACAACGCGGATAATCCGGTGCCGCGCGGCGTTGATGGGGCTTCCGCGACATGGGTGCCCGAGCCCTAGAGACGCGCGTCGCCGTCGACGTCGAGATGGCGCCCCCGCGGGGCGCGACCTGCGCCGACATGCAGGAACAGGGCGAGGCGCCCCGCGAGGCGGTCTCCGCCCTGCCCCCCAGCAGCGCAGCCATCTTCCGGCAATTGCCCGCCCACGAGAGCAACGACGAGCGGGCCGAGCGCCTGCGCTGCATCAAGTCGGGCGCGGGCTGCAAGGATGCGCCCCGAGCCTTCTCCACGAAGCTCGCCCAGGTCACGCGCTCGCTAGAGTGCAGCGCCGTGCCCGCGAGGCGGGGCCCGAAGCTCGAGGTCAAGCACGAGGCGCCGGGCGCTTGTGGCGCCGGCGTTCTGGACGAAGCGATCGCATTGTCCAGGCACGTCGACGATTTTGGACACTAGGAGCACGTCGGTCCGGTAATCGGCCAAATCGAGAGCGCCCGCGGCGAGCTCACCGGCGCCGCAGTGCCGGTGGCACCGCGACGCTCGACCTGGGCGAGTACATCGACGTTCCGACGCCGATCAGACACGTCGGCCTGGCTACGGCGCAGGCTGACGAGCTTGCCGGATGTCAGCTTCCAGACCTCTTTGTCTCCCTCTTGGGAGCAGCAGCCTGCGCCCTGCTCACCCAGCACCGCGTCGCTGCGGACATCGTCGCCCTGCAACGAGCCCAGAACGAGGTGCTCATCCGACGCGCGATGCAGCTTTCGCCGTCTGTTCTGGCCACGCTTCAGAGCGCGCTGGGCGATTCGGCGCGCGCAGCGACGGGCCGCCCAAGAGGGCGGAGGAGACAGGATGCGGCCGTTTGCATGCGTCTTGGCAGGCGCCGCCGCGCCAGCGACCGGGCGCGCCACTTTGTTGGGCGCATTCAGCCGATCGCGCATGCAGGCGCGCAGGTCCTCATTCGGTCCAGGGCTGCTCGCAGCGTGCGACGCAGCCGACGGACTGCAGGCGCGCCTCCTCGCGCTGCGCGAGATGGTGCACGGCCCTGCCTCTGCCGAGGAGATAAAGGTGCTGGGGGAGGAAGGGGATTGCGCGATCCTTGCAGATGTCGCCATTGACGGCGCGTCCGTCTTCGGCGCCCTGCTCATGGACCCGGCGCGCCCGCCTTCCGAGAACAGGCCGGGCCACCTGCGGCGCGCCGAGGAAATCGAGGACCAACCCCGGTGCGACTCCAGGGACGCGCGAGCCGACGCCATAACCGAAGGCAGCCTGGGCTAGGCTCTCATCCTCAGCGTGAGGGGCGGCCAGATCAGCTACGACCATGACGCGGTCAAGGTCAGCGACGAGAAGACGAAGGCCGCCCCGAATTCCCAGCACAGTTCCTTTTACCAGCAGTGAAGAGTTTCTGCGGGCAACGTCGGGTGAGAGCTACGGGGGGTAGTGCACTCGAGTGAGTGCTGCTCCAGCTGAGCAGCAGTCGTTTTTGCAGGCGTTCCACCAATAGTTTGTCGCGCGCAGATTGCACACATGTTTTATGAGCGCGGTCAGCAGAGCGCTCATCGCAGGATTTTGCATCACGAGTGCGGCCAGTAGAGCACTCGCACGCACAAGGCACGGCGGACTTGGTTGAGCACCAGAACACTCGAACAGTAGCCCTGCCTATCTCACCCGTTCCTTGCCTGTGCCCTCGCTGCCCTGCTTCCGCGGCCCTGTGCAATTTGGCCAAGCATCGCGCCCGCTGTTCATTGCTGTAAATATTCGTTGTTAACCTTGTATCCCGCCTTTCAGAAATTATCCGATCTCAAACATTCACTCTTGCATTCATTTCTCCCGCCTCCTCCCCATCCTCCTGCTCAGGCGGCGCGCCTGGGGGGGAGGGGGACGTGAGAAAGGGCAGGCTGTTTCAGGGCGGGACTTCTCGCATGCCCTCCGGCCTGTTGAGAGTTTTTTATGTTTGCTATTGAATGGGAGGCTTAGAGAACGTTTCAGAAAGCCCCCAGGCTGGCCGCCGAAGCTTGGTTACCACGGCCGACGCCACCGTGTCGTAACCGATCTTCTGGATGTTGCCGGGGCGGAGCGGGCGCTCCGCAACGAGCACGTGGACACTTGGCCACCAGACGGACTCCAAGCCGGGCCAAGGCTCGCACGCACAAGTCGCACGTAGCGGCACACGCCAGATTGCATGTGCGCCCCCAAGGTATGTCTGTCAGAAGCCCGTGCAATATGCAAGTCGCGCGTCCTTCTTAGTTGCATGCAATCACTACACAGTCTAAGGCGCAGTCACCCCACATGGCATGTCGCGGCTGGGGTGTGCACGAGAGTGGTTGATTGAAGTATGCGCACTTCAGAGCATACGACCCGCCACCTGCTCACAAACAGCGAAGTGTACGCCACTTGTCGCTGGTGTCGCACCTGGTGCACCGCGCGCGCATGGCGTCCATATTGGTTATCGGCGGCCGTCGATGGGATGGCAGGCGCTGCCAGTACCGAATCAGATCTTGATGATGTGTAGGGGGGCGGATGGTAATCGAGACTGCTCTATGTTTGCGTACTTCGGAGAAGTTAACATTGACCCTTCCATTTACCCTCCATCCTCACAGTCGTTGCTGTCCTCCTCCGCATCCCCCGCATTCTCCTCCTCCTCCTCTTCAGCCTCCTTTTCCTCCTCATCCCTCCTCCTCCCCCTTCTGCTCCTCGCCTCCAGTTGTTGTTTCGTGCCAGTCGGGTGATCGCAGGTCTTTATCGTGGGCATCACCGATCGAGCGCTCGCTGACTACCCGGCCTGGCCGCCCTGGCCGCGCGATCGGTCTCGACATCGTTGTCGCGGCCGAGGCCCCAGCCGTACGATCGGGAGCGGGAGGTTGGCATGGGATGGGCGCTCAGGTCGCGTGGCCCCGGGCCTTGAAGGCCAGCCGTGGCAGCGATGAGAGGTGGCTGACGAGGCAGTTCGAAGCTTTTGTTAAGCAGGCGGGCGAAGTCGAGCTCATGCACGGATCCGTCGTGCAGCTGCGTGCGGGGCCTCCGGAGCCACGGCATCAGGCGACGTCGGAGGCAGCCGACGTCGGCGCCAGCCCAGCGGCTGCTTCCAGCAGCCCGCCAGGCTCGGCCGACCGAAAGTCCAGCCCGACGTGGGCCCGGGCCGGAGGGGTGGGAGGAGCGCCTCCCCCGCCCTGGCTCACCCCCTGGGGGGAGGGCCCTTGCCAGGGAGCCCTTGGTCTGGGCCCGCCCCCTGGACTTTCGAAGAAGATAACTCTTGGATCGGCACAGGACTCCCGTGCAGCGTTCCCCCCCAGATGTCTCGACCCATTCCCTGGGACCGGCTCTTCATCCATAGTTGTTTTTTCATAGTCCCAGAGCCTGTTAACGGCCCCGAGGGGCTGAAAGCAACGAAAATTCCGTCGTGACTTTTTCATGGCCCGAGGGCCTTGGACTTCCAGCCATTCCGCAGGCCGTCCACCTGGCGTCAGTAGCAGCTCGGGGACCACGGACCTCTACGAGGGCCTCTCTGACATCGACGACATCTATCAACAGGGCGGCGCGCCTCCATGTGAGGCTTGGGGGGCCAGATATGATCCCGGGCTCCAGGCCCACGCCCCCCCCTCCAGATGGGATCTGTCTCAGGGTCCGTCGGGCCCCCCCCCCTCACAGATGGGATGGGGGGGGCGATGACGACGACGACGACGAAGACGACGACGACGACGACGAAGAATGAGAGGGGCCTAATCGGCTACAAGTAGGTAAGTAGTGCCAGGTTCGCCCCGTCGTTCGTCCGCCGCGCGGCGCTAGTGGGTAAGTCATCCAGGTTCATGCCGTCGTTCGTCGCGGCCGCCACTTGACCTGCGGTAAACACCAACATTTCGGAAGGAATGCGCGTAGGGCCCCGTCGGCCCCGAGTCCTATTGGAAAACCAATGGTTTTTTGACCAGTTCTCTTGATCTGGGATTCTCGCATACCTTTTTTTCGTCTTGCGATCCCGGCTCAGAGACAAAATAGAATCCAAGAGGTAAACGCCAACATTTTGGAAGGAATGCGCGTGGGGCCCCATCGGCCCCTATTCCTATTGGAAAACCAATGGCTTTAAAACCGTTTCTCTGGATTCGGGGTTGTTGTGTGTATATATATATATATATATGTATATATACATATATATATGTATATATATATATATATATATGGATTCGTCTGGCGATCCTTGCTCGGAGACCGAATCGAATCCAAGAGGTAAAGCACGAACATTTCGAAAGGAATGCGCGTGGGGCCCCACTGGTTCTGATTAATTTCAGAATGTGTGGAATGCTTGTTTCGCGGATTCGTTTAGGAATTTATTCATCGAAACTTCGCAAATTTGCGTGGAAGTTTTTTTTTAATATTCAGTTATTGGTTCATCCCGAAAGTTAGTAATTAGAGGTTGTTTGGTGTGTTGTTCGTCGATTGAGTGGAGTAGTTCACGTCGAAATGCGAGTTTGTCTGTCGTTGTTCGAGAAGGGTGGGTATGTTTCTTCATGTCGCGTTGTTTGTCGGTAGAAAAGGGGCTTCAGTATTCAGGAAAATCAGGTCGTTTGTCGTCTTTCCCCAGTATGTAGTTCAACTTATAGAGACCCCCGTCATGACGAAGACACCGTCCGCTCTGGCTCCCTGAAGCAACGCGACACCACGCCACACCCAGAGGGAGGCGACGACGGGGAAGACACCGTCGACGACGACGACGACGACGACGACGACGACGACGACGACGACGACGACGACGACCACGACGACGACGACGACGACGACGACGACGACGACGACGACGACGACGACGACGACGAAGCCGACAAAGATTACGGCTATTGCGAAGGCCTGACGGCCGGTGCCGCCGACCCTGTTCGCAATGCGCAGCAAGAGGCACGGGCTGTGGGATGGTTTGGGGGAACGGGGAGAAGGACGAGAAGGTGGGGGAGGGAGGTGTCGTATCTGACCCGGGACTTCCCCGGGACTCCCCCGGGACCCCCCCCGGGACCTCCTCTCCCCCCCCCGTCGGGGAAGGGAAAGGGAAGGGGCTTCCCTTCGACTCAATGACGACGTTGCTCAAGGTCGGTACGGGGGGGGGGCGTCGTATCTGACTCGGGGGGGGGGTCGCTACCCCCCCCGCTACCCCCCCCCCCTCCCGGCGGGGGAGGAATGAAAGGGAAGGGGCTTCCCTTCGACTCAATTACGAGGTTGCTCAAGGTCGGCTTGGCTGGAGCCCAGGGGAAGAGGAGTCCCAGGGGGGGGCGTCGTATCTGACCCGGGGGGGGGGTCGCTACCCCCCCCCCCCTCCCGGCGGGGGAGGGATCAAAGGGAAGGGGCTTCCCTTCGACTCAATTACGAGGTTGCTCAAGGTCGGCTTGGCTGGAGCCCAGGGGAAGAGGAGTCCCAGGGGGGGGCGTCGTATCTGACCCGGGGGGGGGGTCGCTACCCCCCCCCCCCTCCCGGCGGGGGAGGGATCAAAGGGAAGGGGCTTCCCTTCGACTCAATTACGAGGTTGCTCAAGGTCGGCTTGGCTGGAGCCCAGGGGAAGAGGAGTCCCAGGGGGGGGCGTCGTATCTGACCCAGGGGGGGGGTCGCTACCCCCCCCCCCCTCCCGGCGGGGGAGGGATCAAAGGGAAGGGGCTTCGACGACGACGACGACGACGACGACGACGACGACGACGAAGCCGACAAAGATTACGGCTATTACGGCTCTGATGCACGATTGCAAATTGGCATTTCCTTTCCGTCAAGTGTAGCAGCTTTACATGCGTAAGACGGCGATGCATGTGCCGATGCAGATGCCGATGCCGACGCTGATGTCGTCGTCGTCCTCCTTCTCCTCCTCCTCTTCCTCCTCCTCTTCCTCCTCTTCCTCCTCCTCTTCCTCCTCCTCTTCCTCCTCCTCCTCCCTGATGGGGGGGGGAGGGCCAGACCCCATGCCCACCACCGCAATCCCACAGGGGAAGACCGCACCACGCCACGGCCACGGGGGGGAACCATTGCGCCGAGGGGAGGGGCGCGGACCCTGAATCGGATATGCCATAGCTCCTGCACGCGCGGATAGGAGTGTAGGGGGCGAGTTTTCTTTGTCCAGATTCGAGAAACAACATCGAACCAAGACAATATAACCAACGATAGACGCCGACGTACAGTCCATTCGTTGTGGAATCTTCGGAGGCTTCTTGGGGGCCTCTTGAGGCGTCTTGGGCCGTCTAGAGGCGCTCTTGTCTCTTGCGCCGTCTGGCCCCTTTTGAGGCCGTCTTGGAGGCCTCTCGGGGCCGCCTTTGAGTCTTTCTGGGCCGTCCTGAGAGCCTCTTGGACTGTCTCGTGAGCTTCTTCGAGCCTTCTTAGCAGTGCTTTCGGGGCCGTCCTGGGGCCCTCTTGGGCTGTATGAAGGCCCTCTTGGAGGCTGCCTGGGCCGTCCTGGGCCCCTGACGTGTTCCAGAAGGGACGTGCCCTTGCGCAGCCCCGAACCAGCGCCACTGTTCGGCCTCCGGGCCCGCCCGCCTCTCCATCGACCCCCTTGCCCCGGCCAGGTCCCTAGGCCCCTCGGGCCCCTACCCCCCCGCGCCCCACGTCATTGCGATCGCCACCCAGCCAGGCCCACCGACCCCCCAGGAATAGGAGGCTCGATCCGTCACGCCTGGCCACGCCCTCAGGCCCCCCAGCGAAGTCACAGATCAGAGGTAGAGCGTGGGTAGTATATGTTCTTATCGTGTGCTCATGCGATTTCAGAGACATTTGACATATAGCCTGCGTCTGAACATCTGGGCTCAAGCTTTCAGATAATCCGCGATTTCCGCTCTGGTAGCCGAGCCGCCCACGGGCGGCGCGCGCGCGCGGCCCCGCACCACCAGGCCAGCGCCTGTCGCGATAGACGCGGACGGGATCATCGAGGAGGTGATCAAAATCACCAACAGGGCGAACAGCAAGCCCAAGGAGGTGCTACGCAACATCGACCAGCACAGCAGCAAATCCAAAGAGGTGCTACGCAACATCGACAAGCACATCAACGTTATAGGCGACTTCCTCGTCACGTCTACGGCTTGGTGGGACGCTTCTTACCAGTATTGACATTGATAGAGTTTCCACCAACGAATTTAGTCACATTCGGTCAAACATAAGATCATCCGGTGGGAAAGTTAATTCACCTTGGGAAAGCACACGATTATCACATCGACGAGCTCATTCCCTGTGGCAAAGCATTCAATTATCCTTTTGAGCTGGCAGCAGCAAGTATGGACTTCATAGGTCAGTCGTGTCCGCCGGAAAAGGGCACTATACAGACACCTCCCGGCTGGAAGCCGGGCGTCGCCAAGTATGGAGTCAAAAAATACGTGCACAAGTTATGTCTCTGGTGGAGAACCATGATTCTTGACGATGATGCAGTGGAAGCCCTTCCCGCTCTTCAGAGATTGCGAGGAGGAGTGTGCAAGCAAGCGTTGCTATTCAAGGTTATGGCATGGAGTTGTAGAAAATGCTTTTGCGTTGACACGAGAAGAAGCTGAGCCAGTTAATGGAACAGTGGCCTAACCTTTCAGGCCTCAGCTTACTAACGCGATGGTTGGAGCAAGATTGGCCCATCGACAAGTTCTTCTAGTTCAAGAAGGGCCCAAGAGACCTCGGACAGTACATGGCAGACTTTGAGCTTGCCTATGTCGAGGCATCAAATCAAGCTGGATCGAATGACGCAGTTGGTAACAACTACTTACTATTGCAGGGATGAGATCTATCAGCGAAACATATCGACGACATGCCGTTTAAGATAGACGGCTACTTGCGACGCCACAGCGACATCAAGGTCATCATGAGACGCATCGCCAAGCAGTCCCTGGCCTGGAACAGTCCTGACCAGTGAGAGGGTTACGAGGGGTCGGTTTGGACAGAGAGGGGATCACTGGGGCTACGAGGGTCATTGCGACGTTTGCGGACAATGGCACTGCTATGAGGATGGTGATTGGGAGTCCACCTGGTGGGACAACGATGATGCTGATAATAACGAGTGCGACCGCCAAGATGAGAACGGCGAGTTTTTAGAAGGGCGCGGGCAAGAGAGGCCCCAAGCACAACCTTGGCAATTGCAGCCAGCGTAGTTCCAAATGCCACAAGACAGCGGACTGCCCAGACGAAAAGACGGCGGCAACGGAGACGAAGGAGGACCCAGCGAAGGTAACGGTAAGTACCGGTACAACGGTAAGTGTCGTGGATGTGGTAACGGTCGCGAAACACGCGAGCAAACCAAGGGGCGCTACGGCGACGATGACGATGGGGATTTGGATGGCGACTGGGATCAATCACGCGGAAGATGGGACACCGAATTTCAGCATCATCTTGACAGAGCCAGCCAGCCTGCGCGGTGGGCGCCGATCATGGCCATATTTTAACCGACTGACGCCCCCAGCAACACATCATCACGGCCACCCCTCCAGAAGGTGCCATCAAACAGCCTGGGCGACCCAGAACCGCTTGGTACTGGGTTGAATTACCGCGCTCAACATCGCTGCCACTACGAGACCAAGAATGGCGCGCGATACCATCACTCGATGAAAGCCTAGCCCCCT